TAGGGCGTAAAGATGGATTCATCAATGGATTCGTTCGGGCTCGGTGCCGATGTTCAGGATTTGCTGACTGCTCGCGCACAAATCGAACAGCTCGAAGTAACTATTAGTCGCTTTCATTGACTTTTATTCCTATTTTTAATGGTTTTTCTAAGATAAGCAAACTTAAAACGGAGAGCCTTTTGCGAGAGCAGCTAAAATAATAACAGCAATGATAATAACGATAGTGTTAATAATAATGGTAATGATAATAATAGTAGTAGTGGCAATGATAATGATGATGATAATAATAGTGATAATAATAATAATGTCAGGCTCTTCGATTTGAGTTGTTACTCCTAGCTAATATCTGCCCTCTGTTCCGAATATGTATTCCATTTCTTCGAAACTGACCCCATTATTTCATGGATGCCCCTCACTAATGTATTTTTTCATGATGGATAGTCACCTAGAAGAAAAATTACGATGTCCAGTAAGTGGAGCAGCTTTGCATTTCCAAATTAACTGCATGAACAGCTTAATGTAATTGCTTGCAGGTAAAGGAGAGTGTAGAAGCGCAGTTGCAGCGGATATCAGTACCATTGAGCCTAGTGTTTTTCACAATGTTTGCTTATCTAGTTGCCGGTTCCGTTTTGTTCTGTTTGTGGGAAGGATGGACATTCCTCGACAGCTTCTACTTTTGCTACATCTCATTGACGACCATTGGTACAACTTTCGTTAACCCAAATCTTTATTTGCCAGTGGTTGAATGAGAATTGTGACTGGCAAGGTCAAGTGACTAACAGGATCAATTATTATCAAATTTGTTTAGAATGGACTGAGTGTGATCTTGCCAGGGATAAAAAAAAACGATATGAAACCTCAAATTCTTCCTGACAAATAAGTATTTAGTGTCCTCCAAAAATTTTTGGAGGAAAAATCCGGAAATTTCTAGGTGTCCTTCTCGGAAAATAAATTGCTGTAGCTTGTGTGAATCAATTGGTTTTCAGGATTTGGTGACAAATTTCCCGGGGCGTCAGTGGGGAATGACAAAGATGCGCAAAAGAAACTTGTGATAACTTCTGTATATCTTTTGTTCGGAATGGCACTGTTAGCGATGTGCTTCAATCTGGCGCAGGAGGAGGTGATTTCTTGACTTCTTTCAATAATTACTGATTGATACTATTAAGTACGTCTGCATATTCAGTTTGAGGATTCGACGTTCGCGATATTACTGGGTTGCTCTCACACACCACATAATATATGATAATAATTATAGTAATGATAATAGCAATGATGATAGTAATAATAATCACAAAAATAATATTTATAACAATAGCATGAATAAAAAGTAATACAATAAAAATGATTCTTTGAAATAATAATAGCGATAATAATAAAAATAATATGACAACAGTAGCAATAACAACAACAAAAATAATAATAATAGTAATAGCAACAGTAACAATAATGTTGAGCATCACCACCTTGTCTCAAACGCTACCACTTTTAGACCCATACCGACTAGAGAATTATTCTTATTATTATCATTACTACTTTTATTATTATTACTGGCTAGTTATCAAATTTAATAATAACAACAACAATAGTAATAATAATAACAAATATGAATATTTCTTTAGTCGGTGTGAGTCAAAGAGCGCCAGCGTTCGAAATGAGGCTGGGGTACTCAGCACACATCAAACGCATTCCAAACGGCTAAGCCTTTAAAAGTTCTTCTGCCCGAAGAACCGCTGAGCTGGTAACCCTTTCCGAAGACAAAATGAGCGTCAGGAT